AACTCCCAGGATGGCTCGATGCCCGGACATCCAGCAACTCCCACGCGACTGGGCACCTTGGAGCTCCCCCCGCTCCTCCTTCCTCGCGGCTTTCTCTCTCCCTCTTGGGAGAGAAACTCTGGGGGGGGGAATGGAGACATCCCAGATTTCTTCCACCCTTCCATCTGCAGGGGCCAGCCCAGTTCCAGTCCTTCCACCACCCTCGGGGCCTTCGGCCTACCTTTCTCAGGCCATGGGGCTTCCCCTCCCCCACCCAGCTGGTTGCTGGGCAGGGGAGGTCTGCACTGCACGCTGACCGGAACCAAAGAGAGCGAGTTCCCCTGGGAATTCTGCTCTTAACTCCTCTGTGTTCTCAGAGGCGTGTTCACCTTCAATTGGTCAGTATCTAAATTGACCTCTTCCTTCCGGAAAAAATTCTCTTTCCGTGTCAAACCACGACAGACCTCCCACCTGATAAAGTGTGGCTGCTCAGCTTAAAATACTGTGGAGTTCTTCACACTGGGAGCTATTCTGGCAGTTCTGTACCCTGTATCTAAGCCATGTACCTGGGTCTGACATGAGCTGCCACTTGGGACACAGCATCTCAGTGTGTGTGACCATTCACAGCCCTGTGACTGTGTCACTGAGACCCAGCACAGCTGATAAATTATTTTATTCACCCCTCTTTCATAGCACTAACCTGTACTTGCCTGCACCTCTGTGTTACAGGCTGTGCCTATACTGCAGCTGGAGGTCAGTGCTGCTGCAGAGGTCCAGCTCTGCAGTTCATTGTTGAACCTGACAGAGCTTTAATGGGAGGTTTTGCTCCACTTGCACTAAGCATTTCTGAAGTCTTTTAAGTGTCCACAACAGTCTGTATGCTGCAAAACAGTACTGTGAATCTGCATCTCTCTTGTGTACCTGGAGTGCACATTGCTGTTCAGCAACTGCTGGGAGCCCACTGAAGGAGGGTTTATGATGGTGTTTCTGCCTGTCCTGTAGACCTGACATGCAAACACAAACATTGCCTGTGGTGACATGCTGGCTGGCATGGCTGATAAAGTGTGCAAAAGTTTTGTTGTCATGTGCACTTCAATGCCACAGGTGCTATAGACAGGTGAGCTCCACATAGGATCTCACTAATCCATGATCCTGGCTGCTGTAAATCCTCATGCTGGTATCTAGCAATGATCAAACAGCAACTCTCTGCTCTTTTTTCTCCACTATCAAGCCAGTGCGGAGAACTGAATCCAGCTCGTAACATTCCACATGATTATCAGGAAACCTGGCTTTGGTCTTTCTGGTATGCAGTTCTGCTCAATGATGGGTTACAGCTTAACTGCATCACTTATCTGAAAAATCAAAATAGGCTTTGAACATCTTGTGTTTTGAAAGCATAAACTTTGAGAATCTAAAACTTCTTCCAGTTTCAGCAATACTGTGGAAAATAAAATGGGAGATAAATTAATATAAATAGAAGGTTATACCTCATTTGCAGAAGGTATGTAACTTACTTGCACAGAGCATGAATCTTTAAAAAAAAAAACTTTAAAAAAAACTTTTATTGATGGATTCTTTATTTTCTCAAGTACACATCATTATTGCCAATTACTTCTCACATCACTTTTCCCACTCTTGCTCCTCCATCTTCACCAACACCATGGGAGTATGGAGTGGGATTTGTCCTCAAAACACAAAATGACAAGACTTGCAATGCCTGAAAGCTTTCAAAGGAGACACAAGGAATGGCAGTGCCAGGCAGAGCTCTCTGTGGTTCTTTGCTTTTAGTGAATCCATTAATAATTTGGGTTGAAAGGGTATAAAACACCACCTCATTCCATCCCCCTGCCATGGGCAAGGACAGCTTCCACTGTCACAGATTGCTTCAAGCCCTGTCCAGCTTGGCCTTGGACACTTCCAGGGATGAGACAGCCACAGCTTCTCTGGGTACCATGTTCCAGAGTCACACCACCCTCACAGAGAAGAATTTCTTCCCAATATCCAATTTAACCCTGCCCTCTTCCAGCCTGAAGACATCACCCCTTGTCCAGTCACTCCAGACTTTGTCCCAAGTATCTCTCCAGCACTTTTGGAGCACCTCTAGGGTCTGAAAGGGGCTCAGAGTTCTCCCTGGAGCTTTCCTTTCGCCAGGCTGAGCCCCTCCAGCTCTCACCACCTGTATCCATAGCAGAGGAGCTCCATCCTTGGGATCAGACTAATTAAACTAAATCTCAAGGCAGAAATCAAGTACTTGATTGTGATGAACTATTAGGTTTCCAGATAGAAAAAATATGTTTTGCATGTCTCAGCAATTGCAAAAGCCACAGAAACATAATAAAAGCAAGTAAATTGAGGTAAACTAAAACGAGACATAACAGAATGCGGACATCTTCAAATCAAGGATACATGGCCAAACAGCCATGACAAGGTCAGATTATGAGGAACAAAATAAGGCCAATTCATCAAACTGGATAAAGGGCAATTGTGGCAGGGGAAATTGTGTTTACCAACTCGTGGCCATCAACCCAAGAAACCCACCAACTCAACAGATGGGTGAAGGGCTGGAGCACAAGTTTGATGAGGAGCAGATGAGGGAGCTGGCAGGGGGGCTTAGCCTGGAGAAAAGGAAGCTCAGAGGGACTCTCTGCCTCTCTACAACTCTCTTACAGGAGGGTGCAGCCAGGTGGGAGTCAGGTTCTGCTCTACAAGGAACTTGATGAGAGGATGCAGTCTTAAGCTGCACCAGCAGAGGTTTAGGTTAGACATTATGAGGTATTTCTTTTCAGAAAGAGTGATTAAACACTGGAAGGGGCTGCCCAGGGAAGTGCTGGAGTCAGTGTCCCTGGAAGTCTTTAAGGAATATGGCACACCAATGCCATAGTCTGGTTGACAAGGTGGTGTCTGGTCACTGGCTGGACTTGATGATATCAGAGTTCTTTCCCAAGCAGTCAGCGGAGAGACCTCATTGCTGCATTCAACTTTGTGTGGGAAATGAAGGGACACTGATCTCTGCTTTGTGATACCCTGTGACAGGACCCAAGGGGACCTGAAATTTTATCAGGCAAGGTTTAGGTTGGATATTTGGAAAAGTTTCTTCCTTCAGGAAGTGTTCGTGCACTGGAACAGCCTCCCCAGGGCAGTGGGCACAGCACCAACCCGACAGAGCTCAAGGTTCACATTTGGATAATGCTCTCAGGCACACGATGTGATTGTTGGAGTGTCCTGTGTAGGCGCAGGAGTCGGAGTCGACGAAACTTGTGGATCCTTTCCAACTTAGAACGTTCTGCGATTCTGTAACTCATTCTGTTACGAGCACAGGAACAAAACTGAACACGCGAGCAAACTGGCATTATGAGGAGCGAGAGAGTCCTTTGATAGCAGCGCTCGCGCCGTCAGCCCGGCTCCTTTAGCCACCTCAGCGGCCTCTCCCGCACTTTCGCTGTCTTAAGCCGCCCTTCACTCCCCGTTCCGACTCCCTTTGCCCCCCATCAAACGCCCTTTCTCCGCCCCAGCTGCCTCTTGCCCGCCCCTTCTCTCCCCGCCTTTCCCCGTGCCTTTAATTCTGTTCCCGCCCGTGAGTTCCCCCAACAGTTGCCAGTATGGAGGACACCCTGAAGCGAGCTCTGGGCACCGCGGTGCTGCGGCCGACAGGGCACTCGGGCAGCGGCTGCATCAGCCAGGGCCGGTGCTACGACGCGGACCGCGGCTGGGTGTTCGTGAAGAGCAGCTGCGAGGGAGAGGTGTGGCAACGTGGGGATCGAGAATGCCGGGGCTGGGTGGGCGCCGCGGCGGGGTGCGGCATCCCTGGGTTGTGGCAGTCCGGGTGTGGCAGCGGGACCAGGGCGACTGCCGGCTGTGCTGGGCGCTGCTGAAGCCACACCTCTAATCTGGAGGCAGTTTTGTGCGTCTCATGACAAGAAAGGCATTGAGGGGCTGGAGGATGTCAGGAGAAGGGAACAGGGCTGGGGAAGGGCCTGGAGCCCCAGGAACGGCAGAGGGAGCTGGGAAAGGGGCTCAGCGTGGACAAGAGGAGGTTCTGGAGGGACCGTGTGCCTCTGCACAACTCCCTGCTACGAGGGTGCAGGGTCAGGCTCTGTTGCCAGGGAACAAGTGAGAATAAGCAACTTCAAGTTGTGTCAGGGGAGGTTTAGATTAGATGTTGGAGAAAATTTCTTCACACACAAGGTTGTCAGGCACTGACAGCCAGGGCAGTGCTGGGTTAGTGGTTAGACTCGGGAATCTTAGAGGGCTTTTTCAACCTTAAAAATTGTATGATTCTGTGATTCTGTGGCTGCAAATAGAGCTGTTTTTGAAGCTTGACTCTATTACTTGGTCTGGAAAGTCAAGGTGTGTGTGTGAATGTCAGCACCATTCTTCTAGCCTCCCAACTGATGATGTATATTGTCCATGGCTTCCTAGACATTTGCTGTACTAATAGAATATTGCACACATTTTGTGTGTATGCAGTTCGCACTCATTCAACTCATTCACACTCTATAAACAGAGTTTCTAAGTTACGGAGAGTGATTTTCACTTTGTTTTACAAATTGAAATTTCTGCAACTGTAAAATTATCATCAGACCTGATGGTACAATTCTGTCTGTATCATGTGCACCAGGAAATATTTGCTCCAAACTTTTAATTTATTTTATATTTTATTTTATTTTACCTGTAACCGATGCTTATAGAGACTAAGGTTTTTCTTTAACATCTGACAGGCCAGAAGAATGTTTCTGGGAGAAATGGCAAGTTTGGAAGCCATCCTGAAAACACAGACAGTAAGAGTGCCTAAACCCATCAAGGCAGTAGAACTGCCTGGGGACAATACTGTGCTGGTGATGGAACATTTGGAAATGAAGAGCTTAAACAGGTAAAACAGTTATTTTTGCCTCCTTTGACAAAGAACTTTTGGCTATTATTTTGGTAATTAAATCACTTGTTTTCATGGGAGGATTAGTTTAAATTTTTTATAACGTATGTCAAGGGACATATGAGAAGATTATATAACAGAGAACTGTATGAAATACTTTTTAATGCTTCACCTAGCAAACTGATAATACATCAAGAAGTGACTCTGGGCTGTTTGTTTAGATAATTAGTAGTTTTTACAGTAAGGTTCCTTTTTATGGTAAAGAAAATTACCAACCTGATTGCTTGTTTTGTGTACTTGCCTTTGATGTAAGAACCAGTGCTGTAATGTTTGCCATGAGTATGCAGAGGCACTTTCCCAAATGAATTACTCTTGATTTCAATATTTTTGCAACTCTTAAACTTAATTTTGATAGTCTCTGACTTTTGATCCTTCTCTGTGACTAGCACTTCATACGATGAATCCCATCAGATTCCACTGAGAAGGTGATCATGACCAATTTCTTATCTCATTTTCATAACTTCTATAGCCAGTTTTAACTTTTATCTCTCACCCTGATCATTGCCATGGTTTGATTAATGAAGAGCTCTCAGTGAGTCCCAAGAGGAAGGGCAGAGATCTTGTTGGTTTGGATTTCAAATGGTACCTTTGGGATGCAAATTCTGGGGGATACAATCCTTTTCTTGACAATCTCTGTTAACAGGAACAAAATGAAGAACTAAATTTGCTTTAACTGACAGTGCCTTTAGAATAGAGAAAGTTCAGACAGGTCAAGAAAAGGAAAAGGAACATAATTTTGTTAACACGGGGGGCAACTGGCTGGAAGGGTTGTTTGCAATTACTACAAGGCTTTTCTGAACTTCGTAGGGGCTCAGCTTTTATTGAAAATAAATTAGGCCCTCTTGACACCATCTTTGAAGCCTTTTAGAGAAGAGCAGCCAGAGACAGTATAGAAGGAAGAGGATCAGCCTTGTTTGGTTCTATTTTCCAAAGACAGTTTGCCAGAGGAAATTTTAAAAAAGCATATGTTCCACATTATGTGCATGCTTTCTTACACATACCTTACTGCAAATGCTTAGGGAAGTGATATTATACAGGAATTAGAATTGAGAGTTTAATATTGTTAGTAAGTTTATGATTTCACTTTCAATAGTGGTGTCAGAAACAACCAAATAAGTATATTTTGTTTATGTTAATATGCAGTCTTGATAGGAAGACAAGAAGTTTATAATACTGGAATATTTTGGGAAGCTATTTTGTTGGAGGTGAAGAGGTGCTACTTGCTTGATGGACATTTTCAAGTAACTCCTGGAGTACCAAGGTCTAGATTCATTCATGTGTCAGAGTTGCTAACAATATATTTGTTTCTTAGACATTCAGCACTGCTTGGAGCTCAGCTGGCTGATCTTCACTTTCATAACCAGCAACTTAGAGAGAAGATGAAAAAAGAAGGGAGCACAGTTGGTACAGTACACAACTGTTAGCAAATTTAACCAAATTAATAATAATTTACAAAATAATTAAAATAGCATTTGCTACTTCAGGACAGGTTCATCTTCTTCCACTAAAGATAGTATAAGAATAGGTTGGGATGAAACACATGGGTGGAGGGAGTTCTTTTTTTGTTTTTCTTTGCCCTGTTTGGATCTCTGTGGTCAATTCAATTTGGAAGTCTCTAAAAGGACATGGTATCAGAAGAGATACAGTACCTCAAAATACAAAAATAAAGAGTATAATATGTTTGCTTTACACTGAGCTTTTAATTTAAAAACCAGCAGCAGCAACCACTGTAACAAAAAGAACATTAAAGCACAACTTTTTTTATTCTCAGTGGAAGCAGCAATTTTACTCTTGCATAGTTTTTAAGGTTTGCTTGCATTGTGGATGCTCAGTATTTTGTTATTGGTGTTGAATTTTTGTCTTTGGTTTGAAAGGTAAAGGATAAGGGCAAATGGAAGTCCAGTTTGTGGATCAGTTTGGCTTCCATACAGTTACCTGATGTGGTTATCTTCCACAGGTAGGTTGTATTTCATCAGACTGATAGAATTTTAAGTTTGCCTCATTTTTCCTTCAGTGACAAAAAAGGGTCAAAATTATCATAATGTAAATAAATGAATTTTTGTGGCACCATGAATAAGAAAAAACATGGTTTATGCTGCTAAGAAAAGTAGTGCTTTGGACAGCACTTATAGCTGCATTGGACAGTGATGGTTCTTCAATTTTTTGGGTTTTAATCACTGAAGGAAAATGATTTATTTCTCCAATTTAACATTTTAAGATAACATTCAATTCAGTGGTAGCACTTACTGTCTTGTGTGGTTCCAGCACAAAGGCTGTGTGATCCTCAAAAGGTTCATTTGAAAAAGAAGCAAATCTGCCTTTTGTGTAGTGAACAACTGACATCTGCTGTCATCATCCTTCAGGTGAACAAGTGGTGCAGTGCCTGGGTGAGTTTCTTCGCCACACAAAGGATCCAGGCCCAGATGGACCTGATCGAAAGGAGCTCAGGAGACAGGAAAGCAAGGCAACTTTGGGCACAGCTTCAGGTACAAAGAGTTCTCTCAGTTCTCATTAGAGTGACAGCTGGGTATCAGTTATCTAGATTTTATTTTCTTAAAACAAAGCTCCTGTTTGTTGGTGTGCACCAGGTTTTGTCTGTAGGAGACTCCAGTTTTTAGGGATCAAAATGCCCTTTATTCTAAGGTGTAATGGCTTTTGCCACATCACCCTGTGCTAATATTCCAGACTGAATTCCAAAGTGCCAGCACTTTGCCTTACTGTTTGGGAAATCTTACAGATGGAGATCATATTTCTCACTCCCTGGAGCACTTCTATGATGAGAAACATACATAAGCACTACTGTTCTGCAGATTGTTGATTTTCTATTTGCATCTGGTTAAGTGACTGCAGTCTGGGCTCTTTGGGTACTTCCTCAAGGTTGCTGAAAAATGCCTGAGCCTCCTAATGCCAATATGGTGGTGGTAGTTATTAAATCTGGTCAATATTACAGCACCAAATGCAGTTTTAAATTCTTTACTGTCTTCCTAAAAGAGTTTGGTTGACTGTTCTGCTGCTAGCTTTTATTAAAAACAGGAATCCTCTGGATTTGCTCAGAATCTCTGTTAACTTGGTCCTGTTTGAAGTAACAGCTTTATTTAACTGACTTTTAAAAAGTTTAAAGTATGTAGATAATGCATTCACATTTTAAGGTGAATGATTGTACTAATTTACATGTCTTGCTTTTCCCCCCTGCAGCTGAAGATACCCAGTTTTTTCTGTGGTGTAGAAATCATTCCTTCTCTCCTGCATGGGGATCTCTGGGGAGGAAATGTAGCTGAGGATGATTCTGGTCCCATTATCTTTGATCCAGCTTCCTTCAACGGACATTCAGAGTATGATCTTGCAATAACTGGAATATTTGGTGGCTTCAGCAGTTCTTTTTATTCTGCTTATCACAGTAAAATCCCCAGAGCTGCAGGGTTTGAGAAACACCTGAAGCTTTATCAGCTGTTCCACTGCATGAACCACTGGAACCATTTTGGGTCAGGGTACAGAGGCTCTTTTATAAACATTATGAGAAACCTTGTAAAGTAAATTGCTGCTTAAGCCAAGTACTTTTTGTACTGTTTAGGAAATCCCAGACTTGCTGGTGGAGCTGAAGGTTTAGTGATGTTAAAAAATCCCTGTGAGATCCTTGACCTTCTTGGTCAGCTGAAGAGCTTAATGAGTCCTACTGAGTACCAAGTAGGTACTTTTCAGGATTGTTGGGAATAGCTTTATCATGGAAATTCCTGCAGAAGAGCTTCTTCAATTGCATAGTGAATAAACTAATCTCAGCATCCAGAAGGCACTTGAGATTATGCAAAGTAATACAAATAAATACTGAGGAGATGGCTAAAAAGTTGCTTCTTGTGTTTTGCTGTGTCTACCCCCCTCTTTCTCATGAAGTTGTGAGCATGAGAATAATGTTAACAACATGGTTTGAAAGCCAACAGGAAAATGATGTAACAGGAACTGTGAGAAGGGATTTGGATTTGCTGTTTGTTATCACAGAATCACAGAATGGGTGAGGTTGGAAGGGATCACTGGATGTCATCAACTCCAGCCTCCCTGCTTTAAGCAGATTCCTGTGGAGCACATTACTCAAGGTTGTGTCCAGAGGCTTTTGAAGACCTCCAATGTGTTGCTAAATGTGATTCTTTCAGATGGACACTATTCTCTTATAAAGTGGATTGAAATTTTGGTGCCTCCTAGTATGCTTGTAGGCGGTTCAGTGCTTTCTGGTCAAAAGATAACTAGTTCTCTTTTTTTTTTTTTGGATTATGTTTATGTTGAATAGAGAGCATGCATTAGAGAACTCTCCAGGTAAGACACTTACACATGTATGTAAGGTAAGATGTACACATCTTGTGGAGGTGTATTCTCTCTGCACTGCAAACAGAAAATGCTTTTTCACTGTTGTCACTGCCCACAAAATGCCATCTGGTCGTGGTGCAGTCTGCACATATATCTTCTGTAGCTTTAGAGTACAGGTGCCATAACCTACCATTTTATTTCAGTCCTTATGGAGAAATATTAAAAGACAAGTCTGAGCAAAGGGAAGTCTATGGTGGCAGTAGTTCACTGGAGACAAGAACTCTGCAGCCCCAGAAGCTGGGAAACTGAGGGAGCCTGGTCTGCTGCCCTGAGAGAGGGAGGAAACAAAGGATGGAGCGGCATAGAAGTGTTGTGGCCATATTATATTTAAAGCAATGCAGCCAATGGGAGCTAAGCCAAGGAAGGGCCCAACCAGTCACCAAAAGAATTTTGTTCAATGGCTTTAAAATACATAAAACTTTTCATACCTGCATATGCTAATGAAGTAAAACCTCTACCTGCTTTACATGTGTGAACTAAAATCACCCAATCTCCATGTAATCATGAAAGGGCATCAGCTAGAACTTTGTCTTTTCCCCACCCCCAAAGAAAACTATAAATACAACATAGGAGGGGAGAGGGTCAGATCTGAGAGACTTGTCCTGTGTGTCCTGGGATGGCTGATGTGCTGTACCACGCTGCTTCTCTACAGGGGTGCCTGGCAGGTAACCTTTATTCCAAGGGGATTCTACTGCTTGTGCTTTCTCATATCAGTGTATTTATCAAGGGTAGTTTACAACCCTTATTCTGTCACAATGAGCAGTAAACCATACTGGTTACGCCTCTGAAATTGAGAATGTGCCCACTCTCAATGCTGCACTTTTTGTGCATCTGTGTTCCTGAGACTTGTAATGCAGACATAGAGAGCTGCACTGGTCACTCTAAAATATTATCTGTGAAGATCTCCCAGGGACTCAGACAAAGGAGGGGAAGATGTAGACATCTCTGGGTCCAGAACATCCTTGGATAACCTGGAAAGCAAGTTTCCTACATTTTTACATCACAGTCCCCACTGAGTGCATGTGCTATAGCTCTTGTGGTGAGACATGAAACCAAAGGAGATAAATAAGTAATTCAAAGGACAGCACCTCACCAGTGTCAGAAGTCCTTGATGATAGTTCCACAGACTATGGCTTTTGCCTCCAAGGTGTTAATACTGAAATTGTTCTCTTTTTGATGTAGGCTAGTACTAGTGCTTCTGTGCAAGCGTACCAGGTAGGTGCACTTAAGAGTGTTGGGGAATTACTGTTATTAACAAAAATGGGTTTGCAGTGGAGATTGACATATTACTGAGGAGTTTTTGGGTGCTGGTACTGCAGTTACACAAAGTGGAAGCAAGTTTGGAGAAGGCTGTCACTTCCTACAATTTTTGTTCCTTAATTCTGCTATTTTTCTCACTGGCTGTTTGACTATTCCTGAAGAAAGTCTTCTTGGTAAAATAGGCTTTAATTTTACCTTGTTGTTTAAATAAAAGTTTTCCAGTTTATTATGGCTGTCTCTGTTTTCTAAGTTAAAGCCTTATATCTTGTGTTTATTCTTGGGGAGCTGCTTGCTCTGACCTGCTAAAAGTCACTATTATGTGAGAGAGTTATGGTCATCAGAGGTGTTTATGGGAATATGCATGGCCATGGACTGGTCTGGAGCAGTGTGTCACTGAAGAAAATGTACGTGTTGTTCATTACAGTGCAATGTGAGGACCTACTCTGCC